ATACATTATTTGTTTTCTGTATAGATTCAATAAACAGTACGTACTTGTTTGACTACGGAAAAAAAAAAAAAAAAAAATACCAGTTTAATACTTTTTGAAGCCCTAATTATTTTTTTAATAATTTAATGAATTTTTTAAAAAAATAATAATAAATCAATTATTTATATTAATATATTAATGAATCAAATAGTTTTTATTATAAAAATACAAAAAAAAGAATAATTAATAATTAATAAATTATACTATATATATATATTTTATTTTATTTTATTGCAAATGGACATTAAATGCGAGACCTTTATTAAACTTTCATTTATCCATCATTTGTATATATTTTATTTAACTATTAAAAAAAATAATTTTAAATAAAAAATAATATTTATATATACTACATAATGACGGTAGTATAAAATAATATATTACCGATTAAAAACGCCTGATATCTGATAATCAAATCGAATGATGTGAGCTTTATCTAATACTTATCACTGATGTTATCAAATTGAAGGCTCACTATCGCTATCTCGCGTACCTACCATATCTCCTACTTACCATTTTCTTCAGATTGTAGCACGTACGTACGATCGTCTCATCGTACGAGATTGTGTAACATAAACTTATAAATTTCCAAGTATTTTACACATCATTTTCACCTGTTTGCTATTTGACCTTTTTACCCGATTTAAATTCCAAGTTTAAATAGTGAATTTGCATCACACCGTTCTGAGCCCTTATACCCAGCACACAATGTCTTATGATAACATCAAGTCAAGTTTTGAATGGATATCCTCTCTGAATGCAAATACTCCAGTTACAGCCGTTCGCAAAACTTCCATTATTTGTACCATTGGTAGGCTTGTTGATACCCAACTTCGCGATTAAATATTACTGAACTAAATATGGAGTTCAATGTATGAAAGGTCCGAAGACCAATACCGTCGAAATGATAACAAAGCTACGTGATGCAGGCATGAATATTGTCCGTATGAACTTCTCGCATGGCTCCTATGAAGTAAGAATTGGTTAATATAGCATTTAATGTGAATTTTATTGATGGACCATTCATTAATTTGAAGTTTTGTATCAACATAGTACCATAAATCTGTTATTGATAACACACGCGAAAATGCAAGACGTAAGGTTTTTCACGTTATGTTTCCCTACAGACATCGTTATTCTAAAATTATCCTTAAATATAGTATACCCTGGTCGACCGGTTGCAATCGCCCTAGATACGGTAAGCTATTTAAAAAAAAAACATTGTAAATAAATATAAATTAATCTTTCTCAATAGAAAGGACCCGAGATCCGGACAGGTCAAATGCGTGATAATGTTGAGGTATTTAACATTTTAGATTTTAAATTAATGTTTGAATTCACACTGATGATTTATGCGTAACAGCTTCCCATTACGGCTGGACACATAATGACCTTTAGTACAAATGATGATTATGCAGAGATTTGTGATTTGGAAGTGATGTATATTGACTACAAGAACCTCACCAAAGTAATTGACGTTGGCAAGATCATATATGTTGATGATGGAATTCTTTCATTTGAAGTATTAGAAAAGCATGAAGATTCTGTCAAAGTTCGTGCATTGAATAGCGGAAAACTTTGCAGCAAAAAAGGAGTCAATTTACCTAACACTGATGTAGATTTACCTGCAGTTTCTGAGAAGGACAAAAAAGACTTGTTATTTGGGGTGGAAAATGATGTTGATATGATATTTGCCTCTTTTATACGCACTGGCCAAGATGTTAGAGACATTCGAAATATTTTGGGTGAAAATGGAAAGAAAATCAAAATTATTTCCAAAATTGAAAATCAACAGGGTGTCAACAATTTTGACGATATTTTGAAGGAAACTGATGGTGTTATGGTTGCACGCGGTGATCTCGGCATTGAGATCCCACCCTCTCATGTGTTTGTTGCTCAAAAAATGATTATTGCAAAGTGTAATCTTGCTGGAAAACCGGTAGTGTGGTAAGTTTTTATCACAATAGTAATTATCACTTTAATGGATGGTTGATAGTAATTGATTTTATGGTATCAGCGCTACACAAATGTTGGAGTCCATGACAGTGAGTAGTGATTTTTTATTAAATAACTTATCCGAATCATTTCCATTAGAATTAATTTTATTTAAAATAGCATAATCCTAGACCGACCCGTGCAGAAGTTAGTGATGTTGCAAACGCTGTATTGGATGGTGCTGATTGTGTCATGTTGTCCGGTGAAACTGCTAAAGGATCCTATCCCATTGAGTCCGGTTAGTTATTTGTAATTTACTGTCCTTGCTTTTGTAAATTTAATCCTAATTAATTTTAATTAATAATGTATTTAATAGTAAGAATGATGCACGAGACTTGTTTGACTGCTGAATCAGTAATTTGCTATCCTCCTCTCTTCAACGAACTCCGTGCACTCACTCCTTTACCAATGGAAACCACGGAAGCTGTGGCATGTTCTGCAGTATCAGCCGCACATGAAATTCGTGCAGCATGTATTCTTGTGTTGTCAACTTCAGGCAACACGGCTCGCCTAATTTCTAAGTACAGGCCGCGTTGTCCTATTATTACTGTTACGAGAGTCGCTCAAACAGCAAGACAGATTCACCTCTATCGAGGATGTTACCCTTTCGTTTATGAACATATGGAACTCCCTCCGACTGATGAAACCGGTGATCAATGGCAGTTTGATGTGGAAGAAAGAATTAAGTGGGGAATAAAGCGTGCCGTGGAGCTCAGGTAGTTATTACTACATTTCTTATAATCTTCATTTGTTTCATTTATTATATATTGTAATTCCAATGCCACTTTCATTTAGTATACTCAAAAGTGGCGATCCAGTAATTGCCATTCAAGGCTGGAAAGGCGGTAGGTGTAAAAGAATTCATATTTTTGTTGAGATAATTTATAATAAATATTTGATACCTTTCTTTCTTTAGGACTTGGAAATACCAATACAATACGCATTTTACAAACGCCATGATCATTTATTAAACAAAGGTCGATTTTCCAGAACATCCGATTGCATATTTAAAAGTTAAATTTTTTGTTCTAATTTTATGACCGACTTAAATACTAAGTCGTATTTATTTCATGTATAATATAAATATATGATCACAGTCAATTTTACAAACTTCGAGATAGCATTGCAATAAACTATTTTATTAACATGAATTATTGCATTCAAATTATTGCATTAGTTTGCTGGCGTAGTTTATCAGATAAGTATATATTTTCATGGAGTAAACTTTCACACACTATACAAATATATATAAGTCCCAAAAATTCACTTGTGAATATATGCACACGTCTTGTCCGACTGCATAATTATTAAATAATTTTTTATGCATAAAGTATGTTTGAATAATTTATTTTATATTTCGTTTTTGAAATTTGAAATTTGAAATTTTTAAATTTTATATAATATTATTTACAATTTTTAAATATTAATCAAATTATATAATTATTTTTCAAATAATTTTTATATTGAATAACTTTTCTAAAAAAAAATTATATAAATTTGAATAGTATAAAATTTGAATTTAATGTTTTTATTAATTATTGATTTATTTGAATTCTCTGATCTACAGTATATTATATTTTATAAATAACTATTTAATAATATATGCTAAAAATAATATTATTAATTAAAAAATATAAAAATAAAGTAATATTATAAAATAATATATACAGTATATATACAGTATATATTTTGCTTTTAATCAGATTGCAATTTTGTATATTTATTAATTTTATAAAAAAACAATAATACATTGTATTCTAAAACATTATATTAAAGCTAATATACAGTATATATTGCAAAACATCTGTTAACAAGTTATTTGTAAATTTGTATATAATCCTAAATTCTTAATATTAAAACCATTATGTTACCTAGGAATCACAATTTTTATTTGAATTCAAATGATCTGCGAATCAGATACAAATTAAGTTGAATCAAATTTTAAAATTTTTAAGCCAGATTCAAATTAAATCTAATTTTTAATTTTTAAATCCAGTCAGATACAAATCAAATTTGGATTAAATATAGCTTAATCTATATACAAGGTAATTTATAATTTTTCGAAATTGGTTTTTTAATATAACTTTATTAATAATTATTTAAATATTATAAAAATTTATAAAAATATTTTTAAAATCCTATTGTTTAAAATTACTTAAGAATATTTTTAAAATTTTTTATTGTTTTTATACTTAAAATTTATGTTTAATATAAATTAACAAATATTAATAAGACAAATTTGCCAAAGTTTTATATATAAGTTATTATTAAACATAATACAATTTTTAAAATTTTTATAAAAAAACATAATATTTTAAAATTATTTTAGTTTATTATATAATAAAAATTTATTTGATTTAAATAAAATTTTATGAATTACTTATTTATAATCTAAAAAATAAGCTTGTTTAAGCTTATTTTATAAAATATTTTAATAAAATATTTTTTGAATATAAAATTTATTGATTTTTTTAATATAGAAATTTAATATAAAAAATATTTTTAAAATATAAAAAAATCCATATTTTTTTTTATTATATCATAAAAATTTATTTGTTTTATATAAAATATAATATATATATATTAATTCAATAATCAGATTGTTATCACAAATTTCCTCAACCCAACTCACTCGTCGACAGTCAAAACCTCTAAATGTAATTTATGGAGTGATATATTGTTCACTTAAAGAATGGGATTAAAATCCCAAACTTCCGATAAAATTAAAACCTGCAAATCATTTCCACAATCACAACTATACATATGTTTGTATTTAATTCAGACATTTTTCAAAAACCGTATTATGTTCATATTACTAAGTAACAATTAGTAAATAATTGAAAATCATATTTAATTCAGAATTGTATTATTGATCAAATTTCCTTTTATGGTAATAATGAAACATGTATAGTCATGACCATAAATTCAAATTATGTTACTCTCCTTTTATAGAAACTATGTAAGAGAAAAAGAAATAAAAAAAAATTTTTTTAACAAAGTGAAAAAAAAAAAAAAGTTATTATCTATTCTAACTATTATTGAAAAAATTATCTCAGTGAACTTAAAACCCAAGCCTCTTATAGTTTCCCACTTCTCATCACCTGTAACCAGACAAACTGTTTAATTTCTATTGGAGTAATTGATATTCAAGAATGTTTAAGAGCATTTCCAGGAAAGTATTTCTTAAAACTTTATACTTGAAAACTTCTAATCAGAAAGAATGTTGATTTTCTATTGTTGATTTCTCTCCCAAGCCATGTCTTCTGAAATTATTGCTTCACTTAACTGGTGGATAGTTTCAAGATCTCTTTCTCCAACCATTTTCAGGATAAATATTGATACTTTAATTTGTTACCAGATTGGGATAAGACCTAGACTATACATATGGCTAAAATTATTTTACAATTGATTCAATTATTTGAAATTTTTATAGTGCTGCAATTAATATGCCGCAAGCCGCAATTGTGACGCAATTATATAAATTTGCTGCAATCATGTGATTTGCTGCAATTATCAAATTTGCCACAATTGTGCCACAATTAAATCAATATGATTCAATCATGTGATTTGCTGCAATTATCAAATTTGCCACAATTGTGCTGCAATTAAATTAATATGACACAATTGCTGCAATTATCAAATTTACCACAATTGTATTGCAATTAAATTAATATAATGCAATTATGTGATTTGTTGCAATTATCAAATTTGTCGCAACTGTGCCGCAATGCCGAAATTGTGATACAATTATTAACCAATTAAATTTAAAAAAATAGAAAAAAATGAAAATAACAAATTTATTGTTTTTCTATTCATCCATCCATTAAAAATGCAAAGTAATGATAATCAAACAGTTTCCTCATTATCCAAAAATATAATTGGATGACCAGAATCATCAGCTTGACAACATTTTTATAAAACAGCTATTAATAAAAGTCATGGATACTTTTCAGTAACATATTATTATTGTGACAAAAAATATCAGAGGGGTAAACCAAATATTCTTGAAGATCATTTAGCAAGTGAGTATATATTTTGTTCAATTGAAATTCAAAATGAATTTTTGGAAACAATTGTTAATAGAACAGTTGAGAACAAAAAAAAACCCAACAAAAAAACAAAATTAGATTCAAAACAATCTCTATTAAGTAATTTTATAGAAAGTAGCAAGTTAACCAATACTAGAAAAGATACAATCAATACAATATTGGGAAGATTTTTTGTTATCTGTGCAATTCCTTTTGCAGTTGCAGACCATACATTTTTTATTGAATTTTGTAAACAACTTCATCCAGCTTATAATCCACCATGTCGCACAACAATTTCCACAAATATTATTTACTCAAAGGCAGTAGCAATCACAATCAAAATACAAAAGGAATTATAATCAGGAGAAAATATTACAATTTCTTTGAATGGATAGACAGATCCCAGCAATCGCCAATTATATAATTTTATTTTGATAATACCTAATAGACATGAATATTTTTGAGCTATTGAAAATGTATTATCAGAAAACATTACTGGAGAGTTTTTGGCTATGAAAAAATTATCAATACTATTGAACAAAATAAAATTACAAAATTGGTTACAGATGGAGTGGCTAATTGTAAGGTTGTATAAAATCTTATTGGTGAAAAATATCTACAAATTATTACTATATAGTATATTGCACATCATATCAATTTGATTTTCAAGAATATATGCAAGCATCAGTTTGCCATTAATACAATTAATAAGTGTCAAACATTGGTATCATTTTTTTTGAGATTACATCAAGGGATGAGTGCACTTTAGGAATCTATTAATAAATTAAAAATCAAGGGTGGAGGCATCAAAACATCAACTAAAACAAGATAGTCAATAATATATGATTGTTGTGAATTAATTATTAGACTTTGATTAACATTTGAAGATGTAAGTATTTGAATTTTTATTAATTTAATATTAAATTTAATTATTAATTATTAAATTTTGGATAATAAACCTGGGATATTAAGCAATAATTGTGTAGAGATTATTACAACAAGAGGTTTTTTTGAAGACATACATCAAATGATTATAATTCTTAAACTAATCAAAAGTGTGATTTTGGTTTTAGAATCCAAAACAACAACTTTAGCTGACTGTTTTGTTCAATTATGTCAACTGGCTCATATTATCAATTATATTTCTATTTCTATTCCAATTTCAGAGAATTTTCGGAATTATTGTATTGATCAATTTAACAAAAGATAGAATAAATTTGAACATCCAGTATTTGTGTTGGCTTATTTTTTATATCTTTTATATTGTGATAAGTTATTGAATTTTATATCACTATTATATTTAATTTATTAATTTAATTTTATATTTAAGATCATGGATTACATGACAATTATTTCAGAAAAAATTGCTTTTATGCTGATAATCTACTCAAAAAAATGGGAGGTGATGAACAAATGATTTTGGTATTAATTTCTCAAATACAAAAATATTAGTTTAAAAAATCTCCATATGATTTACCTTATGATACTACAGGAGATACTCCTGAAATTTGGTAAATAATTTGTCCTGAAAAACCTGCATATTTACAAAGAATTGCTCTCAAGTTGCTTAACATTATATCACATTCAGCCAATTGTGAAAGAATCTTTTCTGTATTGAGATGGTTCTATGGGCAAAGAAGAACAAAGCTAAGTTCTAATAAAATTTCTATGATGGTAAAAATTTACTCTTATTATATATCAAATACTAAAAATCAACTTCAGTATTATGGAAATTTATTATCAAGTGATGAAATTCAAGATCAGATAATCTATGCAACTCAAAATTTGATGGATTTACAAGAAATTGATGATGAAGATTTATTTGAAGCAATTTTATTAGATAATGAAAATGATATTGAACTCCAAATAGCTGAAAAATTTAGTAAATAAAGAGAAATTAAAAAGGATTTTAGCAATAGAAATTCGTGTTGA